CGTAACTACCGTGTAGGTAGCCTTTGCCTGGTGACAGGTGTCCTAAGTAATGGAGAAGTGACTGCACTGTGGCGGATTTCGGCGTCCGCACGGAGCGCAGTCCTCAGTGGGTACCGAGGGCAGGCTGTGCCGTTCCGTTTATCCGAGCACCAGGCCTGCCCGTCAGGAGTGGGCAGGTTGCGGACTCCGCGCAGTTTGCCTGTTTGTTGAGTACTTGCTACTCGCCAGGCACTTTTGCAGGCCCTGGGAACTTAGGGAACCAGAGAGGCGGCCATTGTGGAATTTGTAAAAACCTTCCAGCCTTTGAACCCGGAAGGACTTCTGGGGGTCCTGTGGCCTCCGAACCGAGCAGGTGTTGTCCAGTGTCCTGCAGGCTGCCCTGGCCAGAGCCGTGAATCTCAGACACACAGAGCTCGCGCTGCAGGGTAGAAGCGGGCCGTGCGGGAAGGGAGCTGAGTACAGACCCCCTGGGAAGCGAGGCTCACCTGCTCACTGCTTCATCCTCAGTGAGCTTACAGGGGGCCACTGTAGGCAGTGGGGGTGGCCTCCCAGCCCCATGGGGACCATGCTGCGGCGCAGTATGCAAACCTGGCCAGTGCTGGAAGCGTCTTCTCTGGGGGGCCTGGCCAGAGGCAGATCCCAGACGGAGCCACAGGTGGCGGGGAGCAAGCTATGGGACAGCTCAGACTCCACCTGGCAGCCGGGAGCCTCCCCAAGATCGCAGGCAGCTTCCGGGGAGGTGACCTTGCCTGCCTCCCGCCTCCCCTCCCTGCAGCAGGACAGACCTGGACGCGCCCCCCAGACCAGCCTCCCCCAAGGTCAGCAGAAGCCCCCCAGAGACGGCTGTCCCGGCAGAGGATACGGCTCGGAGGAGTGAGTTGGGGAGGAGCGTTGGGTGGGCCGGGTGGGGGATGGTACCCCGGCCCCGCAGAGTGTTCAGCCAGCCAGGGAGGCCAGGAACCAGGGGGACGAAGCCCAGGTGCTGCCTGGTTCATGTTCTCTGCCGGGACCTGGGCCCGTGGCGTCCCTGTCTTAGCTGCCGGAGGGGACACACGATGGCTGTGCGCACCTGGCTGTGGCCCACACGGAGCGCCAGCAGCTGGAGCCTGGGCGACAGCGGCCCGAGGTCTAAGGGCGAGGATCTTCGGTGGGCTAGGGAGGGGGCCAGGTGGTCAGGATGGGGAGACCTGGAGCCTCCCAGGGCGCTGTTGGCTGCCTCGTGACATTGAAACTGTGCAGTGGGACCTTGGAGAGCTGGGTGGGGGCAGTCCTGGTGGGCTTCTCAGAGGAGAACAGACCCAGGTGTCAGCAGGGACACCGTGTGGGCAGACACCCACTCCCTGCCCGGTGCAGTGGCGGCCGACACCCCCTCGGTGTCTGTGCTGGTGAGGGAGGTGGGCGGTGAACGGGAAGATAGAAACCGACAAGGTCCGTTCCGAGCACAGAAAGCCACGTGAAGAGAGTAAAACTGGAGGATGGGTCAGCAGAGGCTGGCCATAGGGAGGGTGCTCTTCTAGGGTGGTCTTGGGGCCTTCCAGGGGACAGGTGTAAAGGGAGACCAGCGGTGGGATGAGCATGTGGGTGGAGCTTGCACAACAGACACGTAACCTCCCTCCCATTCCTTGCCACAGCCAAGCGCCCCGCGCCCGCCCGGCCCACCATGCCGCCCCCCCAGGTTGCCAGCGCCCGCTCTTCCCCTCCAGCTCCACCCCTGCCCCCTGGCTCCGGCAGCCCCGGGACCCCCCGAGCTCTGCCCCGCCGCCTGGTTGGCAGCAACCTCCGGGCCCCCACGGTGCCGCCCCCGCTGCCCCCCGTGCCCCCCCTGCCCGCCCGGCGTCACAGCCGGCGCTCCCCAGCCTCCCCCAGCCCTGGCTCCCCGGGGCCAGCCGTGCACAGCCCGCACAGCCCCGTCTCTCTCAGCGGAGAGGAGGGAACTGGAGAGGAGGGAGGGGCCCCGGAGGCTGTCGCTGGGACCCCCCCCGCCCCGGCTGTGCCGCCTCAGCCCCGGCCCCGGAGCCTTGCTTCAGAGACCGACTGAGGGGCCGTCCCCTCCTCGCCACCTGCAGCCTTTGCCCACAAGTGCCTCGGTGCCCGCTGGGTCGGCCCCCGGGGCGGGAGAGGGCTGGGGGACCCCCCGCCGACTCCCCCTCTGGCAGGGGCCCAGGGGAGCCACGGGAAGGAAGGAAGGAAGGCTTGCCTGCTCCCGGGGGATTTTTATTTTTCTCTTGCTGACATATTTTTTGTAAGGCTGAGCAATAAATTATTTTGGACCAAACTGGAGCAGCTGCCAAGGGGTCGTTCCACTTTCTTTGCACTTCCGAAGCCACGTGCCTACAGTGGGAGGGACGCGGCCTCCTATCCCAGTGCCGCACGCAGCGCCGTCCCGTCTCCTCCCAGGGAGGCGGCGCCCCTGCCCGTCTCGCCCAGAACGGCGTGGCTTGCCAAGGTGCCAGGGTCGTAGCGGGCAAGGCACGGGCCTGGGATTGGAACCCAGGTCTGCTGAGGCCGGGCAGCCTGGCATCTGTGAGCTGGGCCTGCAGAGGCGCAGCTCCGAGGGTTGGACGAGACGCTCCTCTAAACACCGAGTACCACCTCTGAACACGCACTGGCCGCTGCTGTCCCCCCACAACCCGGGAGAAGGCAGGGAGGGCCCCCCGAGGAGCAGGGCTGCTGTGTCCACAGCTCCCCTGAGGCCCTGGGCCAGCTCCCGGACTCGCCTGGACACCCGAGGAGCTTCTGGAAATAGACCAGAGACCCGACCTGTCATGGCACTGGGGTCCCAGTTAGGGGTGGGCCACCTCTCTCAGACTGATGCAGAGGGGGGTGCCAGCCTCCGAGTGACAAAGTTGGAAAGCAGGGACATTCCAGGCCGAGGAGACCACGTAGGTAACGGCCAGGGTGGGGGCCCTCGTGCCTGCGACGCCGGCATCCCACCCTGGAACGCTGGTTCAAAACCCGGCTGCTCCACTCCTGATCCAGCTCCGTGGGAAACGGTTTCCTCCATGTCAGTAGCCTCCATTCCCACAGCCAGGCCCCGGGCGGCTGGGCCGCCACACCAGCCCTGGGCCATTGGCTGGCGAGCCCGGTTCTTGTCCACCCTGACCTCATAGTGGATTCCCTGTAATTAACAACCAGACAAACCAACCCAATGACCCCCAGGGCCCACTCTAAACAATTACATCAGAAGCTCTGGGCTCCTGCCACACATCAGGGTGCATTTTCATGCTTGTTAATTTTCACCAACTTGAGAAGCAGAGCCACGCACATCTTGCACCTGCTGGGTCGCTCCCCAGGCGGCCTGGGTCAGGCTGAAGCCAGGGGCCAGGAACTCCATGTGCATGGCTGAGCCCCAAGGCCTTGCTGTTATCGACTGACCCCAGGTAAATTAGCAGGGAGTTGGGTGGGAAGTGGAGCAGCTGGCACTTGAACTGGCGCCCTGACAGGGGATGCAGGTGGGCGTCCCAACTGGCAGCTTAGCCCCCTGCATCATATAATGCCCTCCCCACATGTGTGGGTTTTTAAATAAAGATTTATTCATTTGTTTGAAAGGCAGAGTTACGGACAGGTAGAGGCAGACACACACATACACACACATACACACACACACACACACACACACACAGAGGTCTTCCATCTGCCGGTTCACTCCCCAAATGGCCACAATGGCCGGAGCTGCGTGGATCCAAAGCCAGGAGCCAGAAGCCTCTTCCGGATCTCCCATGCAGGTGCAGGGGCCCAAGCACTCGGGCCATCTTCTACTGCGTCGCATAATGCAGGTGGTGGCTTTACCCACTATGCCATAGCACTGACTCCTGTTATTTGAAAGAGCGATAGAGGAGAGAGAGCGCGAGCTTCCATCTGCTGGTCCACTCTTCAAATGGCGCAGCAGCTGGGCTGGGCTCTCATGTGGGTGACCCAAGCACTTGGGCCATCGATGGCTGCTTTCCCAGGTGCATTTGCAGGAATGCACCTGGACTGGAAGTGGAGACCCTGGGGCTGAAACAGGGACCCGATATGGGAGGCCAGCACCGCACACGGCGGCTAACCAGTGTGCCACAACACTGGCTCCCACAGCACAGCATTTGTCAAAAGCCACCGAAGTGAACAACCAAGGTCCATGCTAGGGCGAGCCTTGCGGTGCAGCAGGCTAAGCCCCGGCTTGGAGCTCCGCACCCCGTATCAGAGTTCTACCCCTGCTTCCTGCTGACGCACCCTGGGAGGCACAGAGGGTGGCCCAAGCGCTGAGCCCCTGCCACCCACGTGGGCGACCCTGCTGGAGTCCCAGGCTCCTGGCTTCCCTCTGGCCCAGCCCCAGCACTGGGGAGTGAACCAGATCTCTCTCGCTCCCTTTCAAATAAAAAAAAAAAAAAACTTCATAAAAAATTAATAGAATAGTGGAATTAAGTGTACGAAAATATCTACGTTACTCATCCTACGTATGGAAATCACACGGCAAAAAAAATCTAAGAGCCCAGCCAGCGTGGAGAGCCACGGGGCCTAGACCGCGGGGCCCAGCGCCCGAACGCGCCTCCCGCCGCATCGCACGCACGCGTTTCTCAGGACTTCGCAGCTGCAGCGGCCACGGCTCGGAGGACAATGAGATTTAACCAAAAGACATCTCCCGCAGCATCTCTTCCTCCTAGCAACCAGCTCTCCCAAGCTTCTGATTGGCTGGGGAACGCGGGGCTTACTTGCTCCGCCTTTTCTATTCCTAGCTCCTTATTGGTTCAGAAGAGCGTCATCTCCCAGCCTCCCACCTCCGAACGCCGTTAGCCGGAGTTAACATTCGTCGGCGACTGGCCCCGTGGCGGCAGGGGGCGGGGCGAAGGGCCAACCTGGTTCTTCATTGGCCGCCTCCCTTCCCTCTGCCCTGAGCGGCGGGGGTTCGCGGCCTCCGAGATGCTCGCCCCTATTGGCTACGGGCCAGGCCGTGACCCCGCCCCCTGGCCCTTCCCGCGCGCCGATTGGGCAGCCGCAGGGGACGGGCCGGGGCGAGCGCGCCGTGCCCGCGGAGGCAGAGCGGCGCGGGCGTGCGTGCGAGCGGCCAGCCGGCTGCATGGCGCGCTGCGAGCGGCTGCGCGGCGCGGCCCTGCGCGACGTGCTGGGCCAGGCGCAGGGGGTCCTGTTCGACTGCGACGGGGTGCTGTGGAACGGCGAGTGCGCCGTGCCGGGCGCCCCCGAGCTGGTGGAGCGGCTGGCGCGGGCCGGCAAGGCCGCCCTGTTCGTGAGCAACAACAGCCGGCGCGCGCGGCCCGAGCTGGCCCAGCGCTTCGCGCGCCTCGGCTTCGGGGGGCTGCGGGCCGAGCAGCTCTTCAGCTCCGCGCTGTGCGCCGCGCGCCTGCTGCGCCAGCGCCTGCCCGGGCCGCCGGGAGCCTCGGGCGCCGTGTTCGTGCTGGGCGGCGAGGGGCTGCGCGCCGAGCTGCGCGCCGCGGGGCTGCGCCTGGCCGGGGACCCTGGCGACGACCTGGGCGCGGGCGACCAGGCGGCCGCGCGTGTGCGCGCCGTGCTGGTGGGCTACGACGAGCACTTTTCCTTCGCCAAGCTGAGCCAGGCGTGCGCGCACCTGCGCGACCCCGACTGCCTGCTCGTGGCCACGGATCGCGACCCTTGGCACCCGCTGAGCGACGGCAGCCGGACCCCCGGTGAGCGCGCGGCGGGGGCGGGGAGTAGGAGCGACGCGAGGGGCGAGACACGGGACGGCCACTTCCATCGCCGCGGTGGGGAAACCGAGGCCCATTGTGGCTCAGGGAGAAGCAGGTGGATGCAGGTCCCGGCGCTCCCGCCCCAGCCTCAAGGACTCCTGGCTCTTTGCCCCGCCCACCACCTGGTGGGGTTGGAGGGTGGGAACCGAATGGAGGGGGGGTAGGATTGGGACACTGTTCCCGTGCCTGGAGGAGGATGTGGCAAAGTGCGGAGGCTGGAGGGGTGGGTTTGACCTGAGCCCCAGTTCCAGCTCCAGGCCGTGCAGTCCCGCTGAGTTACGTAACCTGCAGGCACGTCCGCCCGGGTGTAAGATGGGAACGCTCACCCCGCCCCTTCCAGCCCGGGAGACCGTGGACGGCTGAGTGCCTGGCGCGTGGTAGGTGCTCACGCGTGAGAGCCTGGGAGAAGCACCTTGGTGTCTGTTCTTGCTCGGTTTCCGAATTAACCGGAAGATGGACATTATTGTCCCGTTTCTCAGATAAAGAAACTGAGGCCAAGAGACAGGAAGGGAGCTGCCCCGGGGTTCAGCTGTCATCCGCCCCCAGCCCCTGCTGGCATCCTGCGGAGGCCCCTGCTCCGCGGAGGGTTCCGGGTAGAGGAGCTGCCTTGGGCTGCAGCCAGTGCTGAGTGTGTGGGCAGGACAGACCCCTGTCACTCCCTGTCTGCTGCCCACTGCCCTGGTCATGCGCCCCCAGCCGTGGGGGAGGGCAGTGTGGTGTGGACGTGGAAGGAGAGGAGAGCCTCGCGGTGAGGGAATCCAGGAAGGCTTCCTGGAGGAAGCCTGTTGCAGGGAATGCGGATAATCGGGGAGCAGACAGACGTCCAGTGGGGACAGAGGGAGAGAACCTGTAGTTGCCGGCCTGTGCTGGCCCTGACCGAGGCAGATCCGCTTAGGTGACCACCCCAGGTCGGCTCAGCGGCCGCCTGCCCAGGGCCACTGTGTGAAAGGTGTGTTTTTCTCTGGAAGGCTCAGGAAGGATGGTGGGGGGCCCGGCCTGCCCACGCCTACCTCCCGGGCACCTGGGGTCCCTGTGCCCACCTGGCTGTGCCCGCTCGGCCTAGAGGGCGAGGCCCAGGCTTAGCTGCGCACGGGTGAGCGGGCAGCTCTGAAATCCCGGCTCCCGCCTGCTGCCCTGCAGTAGCCGCTGAGTACAGACGGCCGCTCTGGGGAGGACTGCGCCGGCCTCGGACGCCAGACGGGAGTCAGGCGGAAAGACAACAGCGCCCCGCTGGGATGCCCGCGCCCTTCCCGGGCTGGGGTCTTCCTCAGGGTCTTCCTCGTGCTACTACTTGAACCCAGGGTCAGTCCGGAGCTGGGCCGCGGGAGATCCTGGGGGGTGAGCGGAGCGCTCGGCTCCATCCTGGTGGGGCGGGGTGAGCACTGCCCGAGGATTCTCTGAGGGGGAATGGCTTTTCCTCCCAACCCAGTGAAAAGCAGGCAAGCTGCAGGTCAGACGTCGTGTGCACTTCCCGGGTGGGGGCGTTGTCCGGGGCCAGTCCCGCCTCCCCCCCCGTGCCCAGGTCTCGAGTGCCTGGGCGTGGAACTGGGAAGGGCCGGCTCCGCACTGCGACCGACCGCGCTTGGCTGGACGAGCAAGTGGGGGGCTCCGAAAGCCTGCGGCGTCTGTTCCTAACGGAGCTCGTGGTTGTGCCTGGGGCCAGGAGTAGTTGCCTTCACCCTGCACCGCACGGAACCCGCGAGCGCACGTCGCTCTGCCCTCTGAAAGCGGAAGCCGTGGTGGCACGGGACGGGTCCCGCCCAGGCTCTGCTGCCCCTTGGGAAGCTGTGCCGCCTTGGCAGTTCCTGTGGGCCCCGCGCCTCAGCGTTCTCGTCCGCGACCTGGGCTCCCCCGGGCACCCAGCACAGTCCGGGAGTGAGAAGTGCCCCGCCCGCCCCGTTGGCTCAGGGACTGGGAAGGCAGACGGTGATGGCGCAGGGTCCCGCGGTGCCCTGGCCGGGAGACAGCCCTGAACAGCCCCCCTCCCCACTGCTCCCCGCCGAGGTGTGGCTTACGATGGCCACTGCAGCCACAGACGCGGGGGGGGGGGGGGGGCTTCCGCCTCCCGTGGGAATTCCCGGACCCTTTCCCTGCGGAGCCGCACGAGGTCCGGGTAGGCGCCCTCTGAGCAAGAGGAGGCGGGACGGCAGCAGCCACGACCTGGACTGCGCTTGCTCCTGGGGTGCCCCTCTTTGGGGTGGGGGGCTCTTTCCTGGATCCGGGGAAACAGAGAGGTTGAGGGGCTTGCCTGAAGGCACACAGCCGCCAGGTAGAATAGGGACCCTCAGGCGGGACTGACCGAGCCAGCGCTGGTTACGAGGGGCACACCCTTGGGAGCCAAGCGCCGTCGGGATCCCCGTGTGGGAGGTGAGCAAGCTGAGCCGCCCGAGGCCAAGCAGCCCGCGCAGGCCCCTGCAGACGAGCCGCAGCGCCAGCATCCGGTGCCGCCTCCTGCCCACGGCCCTGAGAGCAGGCGCAGGCCTGGCTCAGTGCCGCGCCTCCGCTGGCCCCTGCTGACCCCAGTCCCTGTCTCCCCGCAGGTGCCGGGAGCCTGGCCGCCGCCGTGGAGACGGCCTCGGGCCGCCAGGCCGTGGTGGTGGGCAAGCCGAGCCCCTACATGTTCGAGTGCATCACAGAGCACTTCCGCGTGGACCCCGCCCGCACGCTCATGGTGGGCGACCGCCTGGAGACCGACATCCTCTTCGGCCACCGCTGCGGCATGACCACCGTGCTCACGCTCACGGGCGTCTCGCGCCTGGAGGAGGCCCAGGCCTACCTGGCGGCCGGCCAGCACGACCTCGTGCCCCACTACTACGTGGAGAGCATTGCGGACTTGATGGAGGGGTTGGAGGACTGAGCCCGCCCCGCCCGCGGCCGCGGCCCCACCCCTCCCCCGCCCCGGTCCTTAGACGGAGCCGTGGGGCCCGAGTCGTGTGAAGCGTTGAACGCCGTCCACTCTCTGGCCCGTTTTTGACCCTGGTGGGGCTGGGCCCCGGGGGAGGTCTGAGGCCTCGTGCCCGCCCCCCAGCAGTGGCTGGGCGCTCTGCTCTCCCAGGAGCTGCCCGCCCCGGTGGGTCCAGGCAGGTGGCCTTATTTCCTGCCCTGGCACCTTCCCTCCTGGAACTCAGGGCCCTGAGGCCAGCTGAAGAGCCCCCCTACCCTGAGCACCTGGCCCCCACCCCACCTGGGACATGGGGCGTCCTGCCTGCCCCTCACCCTGGCCCTGGCCCTGGCCCTGGCTTCCGGCCGTCAGAGCAGACATCTGGGTAGCCACAGCCCGTTACTGTGGCCCGTGGACCAATCCAAGGCCAAGTGACTCCTTGATGCTGGCTCCTGAACTGACCAGTCAGGGGCCTGGGGACACCACCCTCTCCTGTCCTGGAACCAATCAGAAAGCCGGGTGACAGTCACCCACGCTTGCATGTCCTAGGCCCTGGGTGCCCCTATCAAGGCACTGCTGGCCTGAGATCCAGGATAGGACAGTCCGGAAGTCCGAGAGACCATGGCCTCTTGATAGTCCAGGTCTGGACCAGCCAGGGGTCCGGATCTGGGGCCGGCGGGCAGACCGCCTCTCCCACAGGCCGTGACCCCGCGCTGTGGCGCTGCTGCGGCTGGGAGCCCCGACCTCCCCTGGCTGCGGTACCGTCCAGTGTTCATGGTGGCCGCAGCTCCGAAGGGGGCCATTGTGTGTCCCCGACGTGGTCAGTGTTGGCTGTGCCACCTCTCCCCTGTGCCCACGCCCAGCTATTTATTTATTCTTGTGTGCCCGTGACGGTGGGGGTGGGGATGGGCCGTGTCCGCCGCCCCGCCTCAGCTGTAGCCGGTCCTCCGTACTTAATAAAGTGCGAGTGGGCGTGTCCGTGTGCAGTTGAGTCTATGCCCGGGCAGGGGCCCGTCCGCCCCTCAGGAGGGGACGCATCCCAGGTCGAGTCACGCCTTGGCTCGGTAGTGCTTTATTGATTTTAAAATTAGTTATTTGGAAGGCAGAGTATCAGAGAGGGAGAAATCCGTCACAGCCAGGGCTCGGCAGGCTGAAATCCGAATCCTGGAGCTGCTTCCGGGTCTCCCACATGGACGGCACGTGGGCCATCCTCCGCTGCCTTCCAGGTGTGTGAGCAGGGAGCCGGACCGGAAGTGGAGCAGCCAGGACTCGAACCTGCACTCTGATGGGGGCGGCTGAACCCCCTGTGCCACAGCGCCAGCCCCTCGCGGAGTCCGCGTGGGGACGGAGAAGTCAGCGGGATCGTCACGCCTGTCCCGCTTGACAGCTGAGGAGCCAGGCTCAGCGACGCGGTTAACAGCTGGAAGGTGCAGTCACACAGCATCTGAACTCGCGCTGGTGACTGGGAGGCGCGGGCCCCTCTGGGGAGACGGGGAGCTGGGGCGAGGGCTCTTGAAGGCATCTGTCAGCTGGGGGTGCTGCTGCGGGGCAGCCGCAGTGACAGCTCCAGCCTGGCGCTGACTCCTGGGCTCCTTGCTGGGCTGTTTTGTTTTGAGGTTTGTGTATTTTGGGACTGGCGCTGTGACCACAGTTTAGCACACCGATGCCGGTTCGAGTCCCGGCTGCTCCACATCCAATCCAGCTCCCTGCTGATGTGCCTGGGAGAGTGGTGGAGGACAGCACAAGTGCTTGGGCCCCTGCACCCGTGCGGGAGGCCGGGATGAAGCTCCTGGCTTCAGCCTGGTCCTGCCTGTTGGCAGTCATCTGGGGAGCGAACCAGCGGATGGAAGATCTCTCTCTCTCTCAGTGCCTCTTGCTTTCAAAATAAATCAAGCAAATCTAAGAACAAAGGCTCAGCACTGGCGCCTCGGCTCACTAGGCTAATCCTCCGCCTTGCAGCGCCGGCACACCGGGTTCTAGTCCTGGTCGGGGCGCCGGATTCTGTCCCAGTTGCCCCTCTTCCAGGCCAGCTCTCTGCTGTGGCCAGGGAGTGCAGTGGAGGATGGCCCAAGTGCTTGGGCCCTGCACCCCATGGGAGACCAGGAGAAGCACCTGGCTCCTGCCATCGGATCAGTGTGGTGCGCCGACTGCAGCGTGCCAGCCGCAGCGGCCATTGGAGGGTGAACCAACGGCAAAGGAAGACCTTTCTCTCTGTCTCTCCCTCTCACTGTCCACTCTGCCTGTAAAAAAAAAAAAAAAAGAACAAAAGCTCGTGTATTATGTGTTTGAAAGAGTGATGGAGGAGAGACCGCTCTTTCACTGTTTTGCTCCACAAAAGCCGAGGCTGGGTCAGGCTGAAGTTGGGGACTGCATCCATGTCTTGCACGTGAGTGGCGGCACCCAATACACGTGCTCACCTGCTGCTCTCCGGGGTGTGCGTTAGCAGGGAGTGGAGCCGGCACCCACACAGGGTGCGCGGGGGCTTACCGGCTGTGCCTAGCCTGCCCCTGTATTTACACTTTTTTTTGTTTTTTAAGATGGATTTACTTATTTGAAAACCAGACTTACAGAGAAAGAATCGTCCATCCACTGGTTCACTCCAAAAGGTCGCAACAGCCAGGGCTGAGCCAGGCTAGTCAGGAGCTTCATCGGGATCTCCCACGGGGGTGCAGGGAGGGGCCCAAGGACTTGGGTCACCTGCTGCTTTCACAGGCAAGTTAGCAGGGAGCTGGATCGGAAGTGGAGCAGCCGGGACTCGGACCAGTGCCTGTGTGGGATGCCAGTGCTGCAGGCAGCGGCTTTACCCACTACACCACAGCGCCAGCCCCTGTATTTACGTTCTCCTGAACCATTTCAGAGTGTGTTACAGACAGAACGCTCCAGACGCTTCAGCTGTGTCTCCTAAGATTTATTTTTTATTTATTTGAAAGGCAGAGTTAACAGGAGAGACAGAGACAGAATCTTCCATCCGCTGGTTCACTCCCCAAATGGCTGCAATGGTCCGCGTTGGGCCAAGCGAAAGCCAAGAGTCCCAGAGCTTCTTCCGGGTCTCCCACGTGGGTGCAGGGCCCCAAGCACTTGGGCCAGCTTCTGCTGCTTTCCCAGGCCATAGCAGGGAGCTGGGAAGTGAGCAGCCGGGCCTTGAACTGGCGTCTCAGGCAGAGTCTTAACGCTGGCCCCAGCTTGTGTCTTAAGAGCAAGGACAAGGCCAGTGCCGCAGCTCACTAGGCTAATCCTCCACCTGCGGCGCCGGCACACCGGGTTCTGGTCCCGGTCGGGGCGCCGGATTCTGTCCCGGTTGCCCCTCTTCCAGGCCAGCTCTCTGCTGTGGCCAGGGAGTGCAGTGGAGGATGGCCCAAGTGCTTGGGCCCTGCACCCCATGGGAGACCAGGAGAAGCACCTGGCTCCTGCCATTGGATCAGCGCGGTGCGCCGGCCGCGGCAGCCATTGGAGGGTGAACCAACGGCAAAGGAAGACCTTTCTCTCTGTCTCTCTCTCTCACTGTCCACTCTGCCTGTCAAAAAAAAAAAAAAAAAAAAAAAAAAAAAAAAAGAGCAAGGACAGCCTACAAAGCCACATGCAGAGTGACACAAGAGCCCGGATATTTGAGGATTTCAGTGAGCGCTGAACTCCCCTGCCATGGAATCCTAGCTCCAGGCTGCCTGCGATGGGAAAGTTCTCCGTCACTTTAAAACAATTTGCATTATCTGCAGCCAGAGAAGCCTGCCTCACACACAGGCGTCAGGCACCCCAGAGAAAACACGGAAGTCCACCCACGTCCCGCAGCGAGTAGAGGTTTTTCCCGAGAGTTCTATACCTTATCGTACACTTTAGTTGACCGCCAGGGTCTACTTTAGGAACTGACCGACCCCAGGGAAGCCGGGAGCCCTTTCAAGGCGCCAGCCCCGGCGCGGGGCTTGCGGAGGGGAGGACTTGCGAGCATTGCCCTGGTTAGTGCGCGCTGAGCCGGGGAGCACGGGCTCCTTTCAGCCTGGCATCTTCGTATTTTGGAGCCGACACTTTTTTTTTTTTTGACAGGCAGAGTGGACAGTGAGAGAGAGAGACAGAGAGAGAAAGGTCTTCCTTTGCCGTTGGTTCACCCTCCAATGGCCGCCGCTGCAGCCGGCGCACCGCGCTGATCTGTTGGCAGGAGCCAGGATCCAGGTGCTTTTCCTGGTCTCCCATGGGGTGCAGGGCCCAAGCACCTGGGCCATCTTCCACTGCACTCCCGGGCCACAGCAGAGAGCTGGCCTGGAAGAGGGGCAACCGGGACAGAATCCGGCACCCCGACCGGGACTAGAACCCGGTGTGCCGGCGCCGCAAGGTGGAGGATTAGCCTATTGAGCCACGGCGCCGGCCCGGAGCCGACACTTTTTAAAATTTATTTATTCTTCACTGCTGCTCCTCCGCACGCGGAGGAGCCGCACCGGACCGGGCGCTTGTTGTTCCCTTTTTTTACAAGTCCTTTCTATAGTAAAGTAAGAATAAGTAAACAGCAAACTCCCAAAGCAAGAATGAGTAGAGAGAAATGAGAAAGAACGAAGTAACGAACTTCCCCGCGAACTCTCCAACGCACTCTCCAACCAACCCACACCACCATGCCGTCTCTCTCCTCCTATATAGTCCTCTCCACCAATCCCAACTCGGCTGCCCACACGCCGAGCACGCCGCTCTCCTCCAATCAGGAGCAGCTCCTGCAGCTTGTCAAGTTGGTGAGAGGCAGCTGGGTAGAAGCTGTTTACTTCTCTCCCAGCGCCATATTGTGGGAGAGCAGATGCATAGAATAAATCTTAATTCCAGTAACAGTATAGTCCGAATTGCTCCCCACAGATCCCCCTTTCTTTTTATTTTTTGGCGTTGATACGCGCCTGTGTAAAGTTCAGTGTGATCTTCATGCTATTGACTCTTGTTTGTCGTGCTACTTCAGAGTTTGTTGAAAAATGTCCCGTATTCCAAAGATCCCAGGGATTGGTTATTCATTGTTTTCTTCCTCAAATGGAGTTTTCTTCTTCTAGATCTTCTGCTGGCAGGTTTATCAACCGAATTCTTCTCTCAGGGGTCCATATTGGTTGTGCCGCACCCTGTGGAAAAAAACAAACGGCGCCTCGTACTCTTCTGAGTAAGGGGAACGGGCCTTTCCATTGGTTGTCCTGTAAATCCTTCCACATTACCCACTGTATTGATTCCTTATCAGCTGATTGAGTATGCATTTCTGCAGGTGTTTTACCGTTCTTTTTCTTGTTCAAAAAATTAATTGTATAAAGAGCTAGGGCCAAGACATCCTTGTTGGATGTGGCCATTTCCCCTATTCCCCCTTTTTGTTTAATTATTAAATTTTTTAAATATAAGTGAGCGCGTTCTACCACAGCTTGCCCTTGTGGATTGTATGGAATACCGGTAATATGGGAGATTCCAATTCTTTCAAAAATGCAGCAAAACGCTTTGATGTATACGCTGGGCCGTTATCCGTTTTGATCACATGAGGAACTCCCCAGGCTGCAAAAGCCTGCAAGCAGTGTTGGATTACTTGTTGTACTCCTTCTTTATTCATGGCTGTGGCCATAATTACACCTGAGTATGTATCTACAGTGACGTGAACACAGCTTTGTCGCCCAAAAGAGGGGATATGTGTAACGTCCATCTGCCAGATATGTCCTGGTTTAAGGCCACGGGGATTGGCTCCCGCAGGAATCTTTGGAACTATGGTAACAACGCACTTTTCACAGGATCTAATGATATCTTCTGCTTGCTTGCGGGGAATATTAAATTTAAAACTTAAAGTGTGGGTGTTAACATGCCATTTAGAGTGATATTCTTTAGCTTGTTCCAAAGCGGTGCATGCAAGCAAGAATCTTGAATAGTGATCTGCCATCATGTTTCCTCGAGTAAGTGGGCCAGGTAAATTAGAATGAGCTCTTATGTGGCCTATGTAAATAGCATGCTCTCTTTGATTTAATAACCCCTGAATTTCACTTAGA